CTACTACTACTACTACTACTACTACTACTACTACTACTACTACTACTCACATCGGACGTATGCCAGACACACTGGACTGTACTCATGCACACTTGTGGAGTTAAAAGCACACTGGAAATGGTTGAGCCACTGCATCCTTATGGAGTGCTAGCATGGCCTCTCAAATGATCCTGTACACGTCTCGGAAAGTGAGGTCAAAGCGGTTCTACTACTACTTACTTACTACTTACTACCACACTACTACTTATACTAATTATTATTACTACTTCTTGTACTTGTTTTGCATATAGCGAGGCCATCTCTAAGAGTCTTCGCCAACGAGGAAGGGGTCGCAACTGTATTCGGAGGAAGCTCAACGTACACTCGCTCGCGCAAGGCCAGAATGGCCAACTCAAAAATAGAAGTGGAATATCGTCACCAACTCTCCATTGTAAATATTTAGTTGCAAAACCGCAAGAGCAAGTTCATACTTCTCTCCGAGAAGACACGCTTATGTTCAAGGAAATCTTGAACAGCCCAGGTGCACTGGCCACGATTGACACCCCATGGCCACAGTATCATGCACATCAGGCTCAACTGTGTCCTGTGCCCTTTCACACCAAACAGGATGCTGCGGTCTATTACACCACACAGCTGCACCTGTTGGGGAACAGGAGAACGAGTTGAGCAAAAGCGGTTGGTTTCTGCGAGCCACAATTGTTGTTGGAAAACATGTTCTTTGGATTGCCCCAACTTACAGCGAATCTCTTCGGCCTGTGATTCAATAGGTTGTTTTGGCCTCTTCACCAGCTGTGTGGTTGTGCAGAATATCGATACGGCAGCTGCCGTGTTGCTCAGCAAGAGCGTCAGTCACAAGTTCGCCCCGCAAATGTTCCAAAAGGCCCGCCGGGCACCACAGGAGGCGCAAAGGCTTTCTTAAAATGGATCAAGGAATCCAAGAAGCCCCACCAATCGCAATGCGTCCACATTGGATCAACCTGGTCATGTTCCAGGAGGATGGATGACGCCCCAACGATACAGCTGACCAGCCTGCATAAGCCTGTTGGATTGATGAATAATGGAAGCTGGCCAAAGTGAACCATGGAAATTCCGTAAGCTGGACCCTTCCGTCGGCCCAAGCATGCGAGACTCATTGTTCCAAAAGGTCACAGGCAAGTTGGCAGTGCTACTCCCCTGCAGCTTGTTTTTCACGGAGCGAAACTTCGGCAATTCCTGACATTGGCAATTCGGGCAGTAAAATGGTGGGTAAAGGTCTGTTCAACGACAGGAAGTGCAGGACATTCAGCAGCAAACATGAAAACTACTAGCGATGCACTTGTTCCTAGTAGCTTCTTGCTACTACTAGTAAGGCACTTGTTACTAGAAGCGATGCGTTCCTAGTAGCTTCTTGTTAATACTAGTAAGGCACTTGTTACTAGTAGGGATGAATGTTGACAAAACAGGCACATGGCTTCGCAGCAACGGGGCTGCCTGCGGTTGGCGTACGGCGTACACCCTGTGATTGCTGATTCTTCTACTCACAGCTACCCGCTACGAACAAGAACTCAAATGGTGAGGCCAAGCAGCACTCCATCCTCGATTCAATCAGGCTTCCGAGGCGCTACATCGTATGTGCTTCACATGCTACGCGCTTCATGAGGAGATGAATCAGATGAACGTGTTTTTTTCAAAGCACTCTGACTATGTTTGGCTGACAAGGGATTCACCTTCCACGGCGGCAAAGTCAGCAACGCGGAAAGAGCTTTCCGCAGCTTTGGCATCCCCGGCTGCAGGCTCGGAAGATGGGGTAGACAACATGTGAGAACGATAATGCAACACATTGCAGTTTTCAAGCTACTAGTAACAAGTGCATCGCTACTAGTAACACGGGCATTACTACTAGTAGCTAGAAGCTACTAGTAGCAAGGTGCATCGCTACTAAGAGTAGTAGCAAGGACGCTACTAGTAACGGGCGTTACTACTCTTACTACTAGTAACAAGAAGCTACTAGTAACACATTGCAATTACGCTTTCCTCAGTGGGCCGAAACTGGTGAAACTCAATATAAACATAATAAACTCAGTGAAAATTGAGGTGCTGAGCCTGCGGATGCAGAGGGAGGTGGATAAAAAGAATGACATGCAGGATGAAGATTGCTAATGTTGCATGCTCTTTCGTTTTTTGTTGATCTTTAAAAGTGAAAGGGGTAGTAGCTAGCATTGTTACATGTTAGGTGGTTTTGTGGGATTTCAGTTGCTCTTTAGTAGTTCATGCAAGCATGGTCCCGGTCATGCATTGACAGATGTGTCCAAAAATCATTTTCCAGAAGGCTCTTTGTGAGTGACGTTTGGTTCGAGGTTGAATCTTTTAATCTGAACGTGGGCCTAATGTCGGGTGGTTATGCGGCAAGTGTGCCTGCCACAATGAAAGCTGCAGTGGTGGAAGAGTTTGGCAAACCGCTCGTGATCAAATCAGTTCCAGTTCCTGAACCAGGACACGGAGAAGTCTTGGTTAAAGTCATTGTGTCAGGGGTTTGCCACACTGACTTGCATGTCAGAGACGGTGATTGGCATGTGAAACCCAACCTGCCAATCATTCCTGGCCACGAAGGCGCTGGTGTTGTAGTCAAGCTGGGACCTGGTGTCAGCACATTGAAGGTGGGTGACCGTGTTGGTCATGCCTGGCTGCACGATTCTTGTGGTGGCTGCGATTATTGTCTCGCAGGGTGGGAAACAGTTTGTGGAAATCAGCACCAGACAGGATTCTTTGCCAATGGTTGCTTTGCTGAATACACAATTGCAGAGGCCAACTATGTTGGCCGAATTCCTGACAATGTGAGTTTTTCCCAATCAGCACCGATTCTATGCGCTGGTGTCACTACATACAAGGCACTGAAGGAGACAGAGGCCAAACCCGGGCAATGGGTGGCCATCATTGGCGCTTGTGGTGGCTTGGGGCATGTTGGTTGCCAGTATGCCAAAGCGATGGGTCTCAAAGTCTGTGCTATCGACTTTGGGCCTGACAAGAAGAGTTATGCAATGGATACTCTGAAGTGCGAAGCATATGTGGACATCAAAGATAAAAAGGGAGAAGACATTGTTGAGGCAGTGAAAGCTGCATGTGATGGTGTTGGAGCTCATGGATCCGTGATTTTGGCACCCGTGCCAGCAGCATTCCGCCAAGGAGTAGATATGCTCCGCCCCATGGGAACTGCAGTTGGGATATCCCTTCCACCAGGCGACTTTCCTGTGGACATTTTCTCGCTGATCCTTCATAGGAAAACGGTCCGTGGCTCCATTGTCGGCACACGGAAGGACCTGAACGAATGCCTGAGCATTTGTGCTGATGGAAAGATTGTGTGCACCGTGGAAGAGCGCAAGCTTGAAGACATCAACCAAATCTTTGACGACATGGTGCATGGCAAGATCAAGGGTCGCTGCGTGCTGCGCATTGCTCCTGACCCATAGTGTGTCCATTTTGTCACTCCATTCCAACTGCCGAGGCCCAGTCCCAGTCTTGGCAGATCTTTTGTTGCCGGAGCTCAAGCAATTAGACTTGAGGCACACAGTTTGTCCGGGCAATCGTTTCAAGCGCGAAAATATAAATCAACACATGCCGAGCTAGAAGTAGACCCACAATTGAGTTTCTTTTCTTGTTCCTCTCTCTCCCTCTTTCTCTCTCTCTCTCTCTCTCTGAGCGAGTTGTATTCTCAAAGTTTGGGCAAGTGATATGATATATGATATACATAAAAAAAATACGGCTAGTTGTACGCAGTACACGGCTTGTCACGTAACGATCGGTAGCTGCGTGGCTCAGAACCACGCTTTAGCTGGGTGTCGGGATCCAGCTGCGCCTCCATGGCTGCCCAAGAAGATTGGGCGCTGGTGGAGGGACGAACCAGCCTGACGGACGGTGAGCTAGAGGTCCTTAAAAGGTCAGGCTGGACAGTGACGAGATTGGCCACACTCGTGGACAGCGAGGAGTCGACCTTCAAGGCAGTCTTGTGGAAGTTGCAACAGCAAGAGGAGGATGTCACCTTGGACAAGGATAAGTTGGCAGAGCTGGTGAAGGTGTGTGCCGGCTGTGCGCAGTCGAGGCATCAGTCCGATGCAAAGAGAGGGTCGCAAGACCTATTGGATGCACATGTGGCGCATCAGAGGGATCTGCGACGGCGCACTTTCTATGAGATCCAGCGGGCGGAGGCTCAATCCAAGATTGAACCGGTTGGCACTGCCAAGAGGTCGAGGTGGCCTACAAGACTCAGTATGAAGCTCCATATTGCCTCGAGCGACTTGGCGCTTCGAGACCTGGCCGAAAAGCAAGAGCGAGACCGTTGGGTGAAAGAAATTCGAGACATCGTCAAAGCGGCCAAGTTGCCGGTTGCACTTCGTTCCAGCGAGGATGCACTGCTCATCCGGGTGGCGAAAGGCCGCAGGGCCAACGCGTTGAGGAAGCATGTAAAGACGTGGATGAAAGCATCCCGTTGGTTGGACGCTGTCTTTGGCAACCAGTGGCCGGCGAGTCCAGAATGCTTCGCGGAATTCCTGGAAGCGATGGTGGAGGAACCATGCGCTCGCAGCTTCCCAGAATCAGTATACAAGGCACTTATGTTCCTCGAATACGCGGGCGAGGTGCCCGAGGCAGATCAACTATGCCGGGCGCCAGCCATCAAGAATGCTCTCGAGGAAGCCAACCTTAGGTTGCAGTCAGTGGAGTTGAAGCCTTCGAGAAAAGCCTTGGTTATCCCGGTCTCGATCGTGGTCGCATGGGAACAACATGTAGCCGATGAATCAAGGCCCAATTATCATCGGGTATATGCCTGGTTTCGCCTGATCAAGCTTTGGACAGGGATGAGGTTTGACGACGCGAAGGGAGTGCCCAACCGTACGCCGGAGCTGAGCGAGACGAGTTTGAAAGGAGTCATACATCGCTCGAAAACCTCGGGCCCTGGAAAGCGAGTAGTGCTGCTCCCCTTCTACATCAGCCGCCAGGCCTGGATCATGGAGAAGCACTGGTTGGAGGTTGGTTGGAAGCTCTGGTCGGCCATGGGGACCAGCTCAGGGCTGCTAGCCAGGGACTTCATGCTGCCCTGGCCAGACAAGTCATGCAATGGATTTGTGAGGAAGGTGGTGGACTACCCTATTGCCTCGACTATGTCACAGGCTTTGTTCAACGAGATCCGCATGGGCAAGGGTGAAGGCTCCAAGCCGTTGCTACAGCCTGGCTTGGGAGTGTTGTGGGCAGAGCACAGTGAGAGGGTCACTGTGCGGACCTGGGCTCAAGCGGCCAGAGGAGGATGATCGGAAGGTGGCGTCCGGCGGCAGACGAGGCCTATGAGCAGAACGTCAAGGTGAACGTCCTGCGCAGCCAAAAGGTCTTGGCCACGTTCATCAAGGAGAACATGGCAAATTCAGACCCCTTCGACGAGACCAGCGTGGTGCAGCTGGTCGAGCAGCGCATGCGGGGCTGGGGTTCAAGCAGGAGGAGTGCGATGAGCAGATGATGTGCTTGATGACCTTCATGCCGGGACATGACGCGGCGAAACCTTCGGTATTGCAAGCGCTGCCTATTGGTTTGGCCGAGTCATCGGGGTAGTGGTTTGCTGTTGTCACCGCCTCATGGGAAGGCACATGGGGCTTCTGCACTTGATCGAGGTTCTGGAAGAAGATTCTAATGTGGCTTTTCCTCTACGAGCTGCTGGAGATACCCATCACGTGGAAGAAGGTGCGTGGTGGGGCCGAGGTGGACTGGATCGGGTACCACCTGGGCTCAAGTCGGTCTTGGGCAGACTTTCGCTCGTGGCAGGGGCATTGCGTCATGTCAGGCCCTTCTTGGCTCCACTCTTCGCCTGGTCTTCATCATTGGCGGGGGGCACCTTCGCTAGATTTCCGGACGCGGTGATCATCTTGCTCGAGTTCGTGCGTGAGGAGGTGGCCCGCAAACCCGTGAGGTCTTTGGAGCCTTTGCTGCCCAGTCCAACTGATATCTTTCGGGTGGACGCCAAGGCAGCAGGAGAGGAGATTGTTATCGGCGGCTGGGAGTCCTGGCGCGGCGCACCGCAGAGCTCAACCGTCGAAATGCGGCGTGGGCCTACTTGAAGGGCGACCCTTTTCGGTCAATTGCCACGCTCGAGCTGATTGGTGTGTTGGCAGCTGTGATGGTGTTAGCGCCGGGGGCCAAGTGGGCAGAGGGCGACTCTACAGTCACTTTGACCGCGCTCACGGACAACCTCGGGAACACACATGTGATCACACGTGCTAAAGAAGTTTGGCAGCAGCCGCTATCCTCTCTGTATAGTGGCAATGGAGCTGGCGACACAGCTGGACCGCAGAGGGATTGAGCTCGACCTTCAATGGGTTCCGCGCTGGCAGAACCAAGAAGCGGACGACCTTACAAATGAGCGGTTCGACGACTTCGATGGAGCGAACCGCATTGATGTGCAATTCGAACAGCTGGAGTTCCTGGTCATGGGGAAGCTTCTGGAGAAGGCAGGAGAGCTAGACGCTGAACTGCGCCTGCACAAGACTTCGAAGGAGGCCAAGCAGGCCATGGAGAGAGCTGGAGGCGAGAACGTCAAGAGCAAGAAGGGGCAGCTCCGATGGCAGGATCCTTGGTGAAGAAGGCGGGGGGCGCGTCGTTGGGTTTTCGAATTCCCTTCACGGAGTAGGCTAGCCGAGAGTGGGGTAACGCGGACCTCACTGTAGTCTGTAGTATCTAAAGTGGGGGGAAAGTACAGTGAGATCACGGTTTAGCACACCATGTTAGAGGGTCGTGCCCAGGGGAAGCCGTGGTCACTGTTAGACTGTCAGTTGATGAAGCAACTGGCAGGGCGTCTCACGTGCCCGACAGGTTCTTCGCGCAACCTTGGAAAAGAACTTCACGTGAGTGCAGTGACATATATATATATATGTATATAATATATATATATAACATATATATATATAATACATAAAATACATAATATATACATATATATATTATATATACATTGCTCGTCGCACAGCTCAAGCCGCAAGAGAACAGAGACCGTGATTTCACAATATCATTCACAGGACAGCATATAGATTCACAGTCCATGTTTGTCATTTCATTTGCTATATTGAGCACTGTTTTTTGTTTGCCGAGCCCGGGTTCATCCATGGCGCCGCTTAGCTGCCCAAAGGAAGTCTGAATGGAATTCTTGTTGAAGTTGCCATTTGAAGCTTTGAACCGTCACTGAGCTTTTCCGGCTGCTAGCTAGCTTTTGCGGAGATCATGGATTCCTACCAATGGTTGGCAATTTGAGGCCAGGCAGCTTGAAGAGGAAGTTTCAGGCCTGCTGGAGAGTCAAGTCCTTTGGCAAGAAGATAGGGGCTCATGCAGTGGTTTTGTCCTGTGGGGTCAAATTTCGGGATGCTGTTGCTTTTGTAGGACGATGACGGCGCTCTTGAACTAAGCGGACAGGACCTTGCTCAAGACGGTAGTTCTGAAGGTGTGGAGCTTTCGATCCAAGCCCTCCAGTGCCGCTGGAAAATACTTGGAGACCTAGAGCCATGTGTGGCTGAGGTGATGCTCAGAAAAGGACAGACAACCTGGCCAAGGTACAGGGTTTACCGTTTTCACGGGGTTTATTACGGTTTCTTTCAGCAAAACACTTGCAGCACTTTCAGTTCGCTGAAAGAGGCCATTGCGATGGAGCACTTGCATGAGGCGTTTGCTTGTTCTGGGGTTCAAAAACGGTTTGAGCTTGCCTGACATTGGGACTGTGCCCTTCGATGGAAAGTGTGATGCTGGATTTGAATGGCAAGTCCCAGCTTGAATTCAATGAATTCAATGTTGCCTCGTGATTTTTGCGTCCCCCTCAAGAGGCCTTGCTTACTTACTTTGCCATACTCTGCCTCTCTTTTTCGCAGAGCCATTTCAGTCGCCCAGTGGTTCAGGTACCTGATATTCACAGGCCGTTTGTGGGTGCACAACCAAAGCTGCTCAAGATGCCGACCATAGCTGGGAACGATGTGCCTTGCTGCATGATGCGTTGCAATTTTAGAATGATAGAAACCCAGTCTGAAAGTACAGCTTTGGTGAAGGAAAGTTACAGAGCCACTCGAGTTGCTTGCCAATCTATCAAGCTGGCCATCAAGAATGCTGATGGGGTGGTGGTAGTTTTTGCACAGGCTCGCTGACCCAGTCTTGCCGACATGTCATGCACAGCCTTTGAGTTGTTGGAAATGGAGGGTGTGATATGCATGACTTCTTCACACCTGCTTTCATCAACTCCCACACCTCAATCTGGATGACATCCCATCAATGCATCATTTTCGGGTCCATTTGATCCTTCCTGTTTTGTCATTTCATGTATTGTTCGCAAGAGGTGCAGTGAGGTGCAGTGATTGGAGTGGTTATGTAGATAGCCCTGCAAGTGCAGTAAACTTGGTACTGTTGGGTCATTGGCGGGACTACGTCCTGTATTTGATCGTTGAACAAGTAAGCGAGTGGACCACCCTTGCTTGGACCCTATTTTCTTGATTTGTCTTGTCCTTCCTCCGCCATTCGGGTTGGCGAGAACCTGTGAGCTAAAACAGGCTGAGACATGTTTCTATTCGCGAGGACTGACCGACCTGCTTGCCAGGATAGCTCTGGATGCAAAGCCACAAAGGCTCTGATTGAGGCAACCTCCGAGTCTCAACTAAAACTGAGCTGGCAAGTTCATGTCAAGAAAGATGCCCATTCATCGCAGCCTGATGATGGGGTCAACTGTTTCTTTTGCTGCCGCAGCTCAGGATTCCAAAGATGTATGTGAGCAGGTGCAAGTCTTGATTCTCAAGATTAGTAGCAAGAAGCTACTAGGTGGAGGCCATCGCTATTGGGTTGGAGGCCATTACTACTAGTAGCAAGGACGCTACTAGTAGCAAGGTGCCTTGATGGTCTTCTTCCAAGCTTGGCAGGCCAAAGTTCATGTTGCTCTTGCAAGTGATTGGCAGCACACACTGCCTATCGCAGAATGCAAGAGCGGGTCCCAGCTTACCATGATCTTTGTTGCAGCTATTGGAAAGTCCACATTCTGTACCGACACGTTCTTGCTCGGTGTATATATATATATATATATATAGTTGTTTTTGTTTCTAATGTTTTTTTTGGCGACGGATGTCTTCAGTTTGTTCCTCCGGCTACTTTTGAGATTGCACGGCACCAAAGGCTGCGGTCTGTTCCGATGGCAGCAGAAGGGCATAGACTGCTGATTTACATAGGCACATGACACCTCGTGCTGGCTTTCTTGGTTCATGCACCCTTTTCAGGTGTGCGCTGCACTTTGTGAATACTTGGCAAAGAATTGAATATGGTTTGCTGAAGGCACACCTGGAAAGTATGCCACTATGTGCATGCGATCAGATCACGGGCAATTTGATGAGGCATACAAGGCCGCTTCTTTGCAAGTCGCCGTGTTGCCCACGGTCCATCCATATTTTGCAAGGCCAACAAGCTTGTTGTGCTGTGCAAGGGAGCCTCTTGGCTAATGATCAAGCTCAGCTCATGTTGAGCCAGGTTGCGATTGTTTGCTGACTGCTGAAGGTGTGCATGCTTCCGATTGGCACTCAAGCGCAGAACATCCTGGGTATCGACGAAGAGGAGGTATCATCGCCAATCGCCTTCTCTTTTGTTCACAGCAATGGACAGCTGCGATGACAACTGTGCCGTAAAAACCCTTGAAGTTCCCCGCAGCCCCACAGTGGCCCCGCAGGTTCTGAAAGCAATTTGCTTCGAGCTACGAGAGAAAGGTGGGCTTTTGTCTCTTGACGCCATGGGGTATTTCAAACAAGAAGCTACTAGGGGCTCCTGGCATCGCTACTAGGAGCAAAGAGGATGCTAGGGGCTCCTGGCCTTACTACTAGTAACAAGAAGCTACTAGGGGCTCCATTGAACTTGCTAGCTGCCGCCGCCAGGTCCCCTTGCATGGGGCTTGGGAGCTGACACCAAGACAATGTACATGCAGAAGGCGGAATTGTCTTTTCCCGAAATGAACATGCTTTTCAGTTTGCTTGTTTCCTTTCCTATTCTTTTCTTTAGGACTTTAGACCGTCCTTTTCGCTTGAGAGACGCTTTCGAGTGAAATGTCTTTCACCATCGGAATCTTTCGCTTGCGAGGCATTCGGCTATCCCAAGGCAGCGTCCAAGAGCTGTTGAAAGAACTGCTACAGTTCGTTGTTTGGCTGGATGGAGGCCTTGCCAATGCCGACGCAGTTGACATTTGCCAAGGGAAGAACCGGAGGTTTTGCTTGCTTGGCAAGCAGCTCAAAGCGTGAGAGCTAGCTGATCATGTGTATCATTTCTTTGGCACTGAAGCTGCACGATTTGTGAGGCTGACTACGTAAAGTTTACCAACAGCATCAAATTGGCAAGGCCTGGTTTGCCAGGGTTTGAAACTTCTCGAGAATCTAATTCCCCAAACAGGTTTACCAGAGGGGTTCTTACTTTGAAAATGTGCTTTTGCTGGTCGTAGGGTTTTCTCCGTTTTTCTCTGGTTGTGCTTAGTTGATTGCGTCACCACTGTTGTAGTGTCTCCGGCTGTCTTTGGGTGCCTCCTTTGCCGTGTCTCCGGCTGTCTCGCTGTCTCTAGCTGGAGGTCAAACTCACCAAGGCTGTTGCCCCCGGGTCTTGCAGCCTGCTATTCTTTGGCCATTGGCTGTTTTGTCTCATCAGCTCCTGACTCAATTTTGGTGTGAGGACAGTCCTACCATTCCCAGGATCAATGCATCAAGAGTCGATCGACCAGGAAGATAGGCCAGCAAGGGAAGCTTGTTCAGAGGTGGAGTGACAGCAATCCGGACCTTGTCCACTTGTCCATCAAAAGCTTCAGAACGGCCTTACCATCTCTGGGAGTGTGCCAAGCACCCTTCCACTGAGCGTGTTTGGTCATTGTTGCTGGGTACGGGCCAGGACGTACATTGTGAAGTCATTGTGTTGCAACGACATGAAACCCGCCCCGCGGCAAGGAGGTTGGCGTCTCCCCTCAGATCTGAGTGAAGCAAGTGCCATGATCCAGCTTGCATGCTGGTCTAGTGAGCCGCTACACCTCGTGAATTGGTGGACCTCTTTGTGGACCTCTTGGTGGACCATCCTGGACTGGCTTGTTGATGCTGGTTGTGTCATCCAACATCAAGGGTGAGCCTGCAGTGTCCGAACCACTTGAGGTATCCAGCAAGGCTGTGTTGGTTGACTGGCGGAGTGGAATGTCTTCCTGCCGTACCTACTTCATGGTCGCATGAAAACGATTGGGCATGACTTTCACTGGGTGCTAGTGGAAGCATCTTTTCTCATATGGAGTCTGGAGATGACATCGTTGGAAGATGGGAATTTTATGTTTGGGCGGCCCTGACATCGGCAATTTGCTTAACATGTTGGGGACCTTGACCTGACGACCGACCATCGTAAGGTGGCTTGCCTCCTTCGTCCTTCTTTCGGTCGGCCATGTTAGTCGAATCCCCTAGGTATTTCGATTAGCTGCGGAACTTCTGAGAAACGAACGCACAGTGAAGCGCAGACTGAAAAGTGGCAGTAACGTTCGTTCAGCACAAGAACCTGGCCGCACGGATTTTTGTGACACGTGCAAGGAAAGACCATTTCCTTTTCGTGGCCTGCCATTCCTGCTTGGGGTCTACAGTACATTGATTTTTTATGATTTTTTGTGGGATGGTTTGGAAACACCCCTGGCGCTAAAGGACTCATGCCTTTCCGAGACTTTTTCCCATGTCTGTGTTGGATGTGCAGTTGGATTGGTTTTTGAAAGAACATGAGCAGTGCTGCTGAACACTTTTGATGCACATTCGGCCCTGTCTCTGCAGTCCAGAAATGACTGCTCAGTGCTTAGTCTGTTGGCCAGTGTTGTTGGTGGTTTTTGCCGGCAGCTCTGTGGTTTTTCAGTATCTTGTTTAGGTGAAGAACTACTACGACACCGGGTTGACAGTCCAAAACCCAGATCATGCATTCATGTAATCCAGAGTGGAGTGAGACGAATGAAACCAGGTGTCCGTCCTGATGGCCACTGTTGTCTCGGAGGACAGGGCAAATTTTGTGTGGTCGTGTTTCGACCTTGTAAATAACTTGATACCCATTGCATTTGGAATCTGCCAGGGGGTGTCACTTCTCACTGATGGGGATGGGCTGGCCATGCTGCGAGATGCCAGTATTGGTTGGCACCTCAGTGTTGTAAATTGGATGAAGAAACAGTGCGGGTTGGTCGAACACGCCTTCAACGCCAATTGGACAACGATAGTTGATTTGTTCAGGCCACATCATCTCAAAGCTCAACCAGGCCTCACACGATTTGCTGAGACCACGGAGACCACTTTTGTGACCCATGCGTGCTTCACAGGGTTTTCTTTCTACGGAGTGCAATCAGTGCAACCTCGTGGAAACGACAAAAGTCCAACACGCAGGTCACAACTGTGGAACAATTCAAGCAGAAGCCGCTTGGTCAAATTGTTCAGACTTACACGCCACGCGGATCCATGCGACTCCATTTACCTTCGATTCTTGTCCCAAGGAAAAGTGTCTACAACTTTTTCATTGGAGCAGGGGGCTTATGACAGACTGCTACTGATCTTCTGCGAACACCGAAGAACGCCTCCGGATGCAACACTCAAATTCCGACTGAGGACGGAGCTTGCAGGCTGAACGGTGGTACCGAATTGATCCTGCATTTGATGGAAGGCGAGGATTGAATAAATAACATTAAAGATTGGCCTCTTTTGTGTGTATCTGGATTGGGTTCGGGTTGGAATCTGGAAACAATCAACCATGGCTACTTGGAGGCCACGCTCCGGCTACCGATGCTCTCACAACAGTTTTTCTGTTTAACAACAAGGCGAGGTGGTGAGACATGCCGAGAGCACCTCGGCGTTCGAACGCCACGCGAGCTTTAAACACTCGTTGTGATGTCCGGAGTTATTGTTTCATTAATTTCCGGTTCACAGCTTGGTGAGCACACCCTCGGCTCTTTGGCATTGCAGTTGTGAGAGTCACCAAAAATGACCATCCACTTGCATGAAAGGCTTCGAAGAATTGCTACTGGTTTGAAACAGTTCTGGCGAGCCGCGGGACTTGTGAATTGTAAGAGGTCGTGGACGATGCATTCAAGATACTAAAATAACATGGTTCCACCGTTGAAATATCAGCATCACCCGGGTAAGTATAGGGGCGATGCTGGTCTAGCCTCTGTGTCATGGCTGCAGAGGGATTTGGGAAGAGTGGTTTCTGAAAGATCGATTCGTGGCATTGAAGGCCTGGGCAATTGAGGACAACTTGGTAGCGACAAAGGAGAAGGAACACGTGTGGGCGCCAAGTTTTACTTTTTTGACAGGTTAAGGAGTCAAACAGGGACACTTAGGAGAATTGTGACGAGTCTCCGAGTCACCATATTTTCTTGCAGTGTGGTGTGGTGTCCCTATTTAATTCGAGTGCTATCTCTTCTGCAAACGCAATCGTAGTCAAGTCCTCATGAGGTTCTTTACAACACACAGTTCTATGATGTCATTGCTGAGCACCAGAGGATCTGCATTTGCGACCAGCTTACAGATCGCAGCAGAAACCTGGTTCTTTGTGAGTTCTACTTCGCTGATCCGTAAACTGCCGTAAACTTAATTGTTTTACAAACAATTGCAGTTGCAGTGCGTGAGGTGAGACTGAGCAGGACTTAAGAGAAGCTCTGACATATCTGAGCGTCCTGCGCCCATACTCTGCCAGCTTTTGAAAGCGTGTGTGGCTAAGTGGAGCTGACCCAGGAAAAGACCATCAAGTTTGCATCTGGACAAGGGAAAGGAGGCCTCAGATGCAAGGGTTTGAAGACCAGTCAAGTCTTGTACTTTGTGCATTCGTTCAAGTTTGTGTTCTGTTTTATGCAGGGATGCACATGGTTGTCGTCCGTGGCCTCAAGATGAACTTGCCTCCTGTCATCGGTGACATCGATCCAATTCGCAAGTCAAAGGAGAGGTTGTCCATGACATTCTGATTAGATCCAAAAATTGAGTCTTAGCTTCTCAGCGTATCAAAAGACCTCTGCATTCTCTCTCTCTCTCTCTACACACACACACACCCCTAGGGTATTGCGTTTGATTTGAAAAGTCTTCACAGATTAACAGACTGCAAATGCAGTTGGTTGAAAGTAGAGCAAAGTAAGAACTCCTTGTTGCTTGAGCACAACCCCCTTCACAGGAGATGCAATTTATGCGTGCAGTCCTCGGCACTTTCTCAAAAGGCTGCGAGAGTCGGGTGCCACTCTACGGTTGCTCTGCGCTCCTGGGACTGAACTTGGTTTAGAGAGAGGCAATGGTCCGCTTGCGTTCTATGACTATGCGGTCTTTCTGGAATCCAGTTGTGTGGGTGAAGAAGTGAGATTTGAACAGAGTTGCTACTACACAAAAGACGATTTCCTTTTTCTATTTTTTCATTGGACCTTTAAACACCTTAGACCAACTTTTGATTGAGGGGTGCGAGAAGCGAGGTTTGAATACATTCAATACCTCCACTTCTTTCTCGAGGAAATGCCGGAAGGTTCGCAGAAGGGTGCAGGGTCGATGTTGCCCTCCCTCAAGAGACTGTTTGTGATCGAACTGTGAAGAGTCTTTTGGCTGACAAGCCACACATTCCTTTGTTCCCTTCCCATCAGGCTTGTTGGTTACTCATTCCATCATTCCTTTTGGCGTGTTGTTTCTCGTGCCACTTATGCAGTCATTTACTTCAGGAGGTGATGCATATAAAACTGTTTTGGACACAAACATGTGCGCAGCAATACATGGTCCACATGATCCGTAACCAGGTGGCTGCGAGCCACTGGAGGTAACCCCCCCGGAATGGGTTTGGAACATCACTAGTTATATAAGTTTCCCTAAGAATCTAGGAACCAAATGAATAATGCGAGCGCTTCTTCAGGGAAGCTCCCCCCCGCCTTTCGGGCGGCGGGGGGAGCTTCCTTGAAGAAGCGTGAGCTATCCTGCGTCCTGTCGGGTAGCTACTTGAGCTACTAGCTACCTCTCCAAAAAGATCCGTCTCCACACTTCGTGCAGGCAAGAAGTATCAGTACATCTGCGGTCGGACAGACATCCAGGCAGCTCATATGATGGGCTTTCACCAGCCTGAAGGAAAGTGTGTTCTTTTCATTAATGACGCTTGGCAAGTCGGTTGTGTCACCACATGCGGAGTTTCTGAAAGAACATGAACAGTCTCAAACTGAGGATGTATATGGGATTAATTCTCTTGGTGAAAGCCTGCGCTTTTTGCTTAGCGGCTTTGGTGGTCGGCAAGTCTTGCTGATGGTGTGGCATCCCTCGGTGCTGAAGGCCAGAATTTTTGTTTTCTCCGAAACTTTCGAAACTGTAATCTCTCTGTCGCCACTTTTCATGAAATAAGCTGTGACAATCACGACAGTCGACTGCGGTTCAAGGACCTTAACACATGTAACCTCATTAGTGCTTGCTTTGTGATGCAGATAAATGCAACGGACTCCTTAGACATATCCGGCATCACTATTTTGGACACAAATCTAAACTCCAGATTTGGCGATTCTGGACAACAGATCATACTCACAGCTTCATCAGGCAACGCTGGTGGATTTGTAGCACTTCAATGCCGTAATGATATTTTTGCGATGTTGGAAGATTTGGCTTTACTCACTTTACTCAACGTGATCTCGCCAGGTGATTGACAACTTTCATTTGCACCGACCGCCCATGGTTTGGCCATCCCTGGGACCCCACTTGGCCAAGCATCTCCTATGCATTTAAGAAAGGAACACAAACCTGTTGTTGAATATCGAGACTTGAATATGGCTTGATGCTGCAGTCCTGCACTTCAGAATGAGGTATTATGTCAGGAAGGAGTCAGATGCCTTCTTTGCAGATTTCGATGGAGAGTCTCGGACGACAGAGCAACTTGGCAACATACCAATTGCGGTGAGACCCAAAACCTCTATAACCTCCATGTCGTAAGAGGAACAAACCGAGTATGCCGTCGGGCCGTAGAGAAGTCATTCTATATGATATCATGTTATCTCCCGCCTTATCTAAAGAGATTAATGATTCCACCTGAGAGCCTTAGCTGGCAAGTTATCTCTCCATTCTCCATTCCACCTTTCCGATACGGGCGATGCTCCCTTGGGTGAACCTGCTTATCGTGTGTTCACTCTGGGCCTAAAGATTCAGACAAATCAGGACACACATTTGATAGCAATTATGGGGGAACATCCAAGTGCAGACACTTCTCTACAAACGACCATTTTTCTTTAACGTATGGTCTGATAGGCATGAAACGCCATCCTCGAGTAGAGCCAGACACCAACCTTTGAACCACGGCTGGTAAGGCCGTGGCCGCCTTCTGAGATGGTGATGAAATTTACAGATGGAACTGAATCCGTTCGTTCCAACCATCATTCCTCAAATGCGTCTCAAATGTCCAATACGGCACAACATGTGTTGATTCAATTGCAGGCTCCATTTCCAAAGCCAACAAATTCAAGCCATGTTAAAACCGCATCATTTAGATCCGGCAGTTTTTTTCAACATATTTACCCCTGCGGGTTGTTCCACCGGCCCTTTTGGCTGAGGGGGGGGGGGGGGGGGGGGGGGGGGGGGGGTGAGGGGTAAGTTCCCCCAGAAGTGGCAGTTAGAGAACTGGACCTGA